GGTTGTAGTGGAGTGTTGTCTTGATTTCCGAAGGGTTTAGACTTAGTGGCGTCTGTCGTAGTAGTACTTTTATTTTTGTAGTGTCTTTCTTTTGCTTTCTACCACCAATTGTTTTTATGGTGTTTCAGTTATTGCACTTTTTTTGTTGTTATTGTTTTCATAATAGTTGTTATATTATATTATATTTTCTTCACTGTCATTTTTCTTTTTCATATTTACTCTGATTTTCTATACTCGACTCAAGTTGATGGTCTTCTGAATTGAGGTAAAGTTTGTGCACACTCTACACTCTCTAGATGAATTTCACGAGATATGTTATTATTATAAAAGAAATAGCTATAAAATCAGACAACAAATTTAAACGTTTGAGCTGAATTGATAAATGTACATCTATTTTGCTTTGTTAGCAAGTTTTGTCGAGAAATATGTTTATTCATCCTGTTTGATAAATTATTGATAATTTTTAAGATTTCTTTTGTCGTAAATTTAAATTCTCTTTGTTAATTCAGTATTTAGAGTTAGAGGTATTTACATACATTTACAGTAATCTAAAGCATGAAATTCAAACGACATATTTCTATATACCATTATGGGGCTATATGCTATTGATTTTCTTCACGTATTTATTGCTAGATGGTAACTGTGTTTGTCCGCTTTTTCGAGTTTATTTCTATTCAACAAATAAATAACTAAAGTAATGAATTACAGTAAACACAATACAAGTTCAAATTTTAAATTCACAAATTTTAAATGGTGTCTCCTATCATAACAACAAATATTTTCTCAAGTGACATAGCTTTTGAAATATATTTTTGATTTATTATTTTGGTACACAAATTTTATAATTAAAGCTAAAAACATATATGCAACGCATGTTCCATATATATATATATATATATATATATATATATTGTCAAGCACCGCTGGTAAATTTTGTCTCTACTTTTGTCAGAAATAAGTATATCTTATTCTGGAGAAAAATATGATGCATACTTCGTTGTACATAATTTGCAAATTATAGAATTTGTCAGTGCAATTACTATGCCTTTTTTTTCCTCATTAAACTTGTAGTTTCCGAATTCCAAATATGGATAACTTATTGATTCTATATTTATTTTCTATCTATAATCTATATGAATAAAGTCTTGCGAATGATGTGTATGTTTTATTTTTCTTCTATTTTTTGTGTTTTTTTTCTCTATTAGACTTCACCATTCTAATTTTTATGAATTTTTTTTTTATCATTATCGTAAGTATGTATTATTATTTGGCTCAAATTAGTCATGTCACTTTATTAGAAGTGTATTAACTACTAAACAAAGTTCAAAAATTACCGATAAGAGCTTTAACGGAATTGATTTACCGATGGTAGTTTCAAAGGAATTGATTTTAAACATTACAATGTGCCCCTCATTTGGTGTTTCTTGACGCACATTAAAAAATATTATTCACTTCACATGATTTGCATAAAATTTTAATTGTTCTAACGAATCTATAAAAATTCACATGAAAACACACGTGTCCAGAGACTAGTTTAATTATTCATGTGTGCATAATGTCGATCAGTAAAATAAGTTATATTGCTTCATTTCAAAATATCAATTCTTTTTATCAATCTAGCATTTTCTAATCTATTAAATCGTGTAACCTAGATATGTAACGACCCTCATGGTCCTTTTTTATGTTTTCTTCATCTTTTTCTCATTTTTCCCCTTCTCGTAACTTTTGTATATCATTTAAGACCCACGAGAATAGGTGACCCGATTTATGAGGTGATCGAATGGATATTGGGTGAGTCTTTTAGTTTTGAAGGTTTAAAAATGGAAAAGATCTTGATGTAGAAAGGAACACGAAAAAATCGAGTTTTTGGCTAAAATCATCCCTGAAGTATGACATAAACTTAAAGTACATCCTTGTGTTATATAAGTGAACAAAAAACATCCTTGAACTATTCAAAAAGTTGCAAGATTCATCCTTCTGTTTATTTATTTTTAAGAAACTCACGCCACCAACAAAAAATGTGTCAAGTCGAATGAATATATGTACACATGGTTAAGCTAGTCAAGTTAAGTGATTTTTTTTAATTTTTAGAAATTGAGGGTTTAAATCATATTCAGACAAAATATATTGAAATTCTAAATATTCTTTGTAAAAATATGGCCAAATACTACCAATTTCAAAATTTTCGAATACAATAATTTTTATTTTATTTTTATAACTAAACGCCTACGTAATTTCACTAAAATTTCAGCATTTATGTACATTGTATAAAATGTGAATTGCATTGTATATATAGTACATACGCCCTAAATATTTTATTAAAGAAAACCTCTAAATAGTTGGACGTTAATATTTTTTAAAATGATTTTTTTTACATAATCTTTCTAATCATCGAAACCTACTGTATAAATATTTCAAAACTTATGTATTGTTGCAAGTCAATTTATTTGATGATGCAAAAACATATGAACTAACAACACACAAAATTTAAATTCCGATAATGAAAGATTTATTTCCTATCCTTATCCTTATTCTTTTTAGGTAACTTTGATCTTCTCGTCATGGCAAGACATGACCAAATTATTATTATTTTATTGGTTCAACCAGTTTCTTAACAAAAATAGATTGAAGGATGATTCTTGTTATTTTTTAGATGGTATAAGGATGTTTTTTGCTCACTTAGATAATATAAGGATGTACATTAGATTTGAGTCATAGTTGAGGGATGATTTTAGCCAATAACTCCGAAAAAATCATACGATTTTGTTGTTATGAGGTGAGCTCCAACTCATTTAATCACTTTATTACTTTTGTGTTTTCATCTTTCCCATTGTATTTCAGGTAAGGGTGTACATGACCGGCCGTTGGTTCGGGTTTTTCAAATATCAAATCAAATTATTTGTGTCAAATTTTTAAATTTATAAACCAAATCATGCTATATCGTATAAAATAAATATTGCAAATTGATAAGTTATAAACTTATAATGAAAATGATCATAAAATTTAAAAGTATTAAATCATGCTAAAATAAGCCTATTAAGTATTCATTACATGATTAATTATTAAAGAAAAATTAAAATTTGTTTATGTATTTTAAATGTCTAAACGAATGTAAAACTAAAGAACAAATATTCAACATTATTGTCATTCTTAGTGTTGAATTATTATTTTTTTGTTAGCATTAGTATTGATTTGATTTTGAATTGAGCTTTATTAGTGTGACTAATATCTATGGACTATAACCTTTATTGGACCATTCAAAGTTAAGTCTCAAAATATATGAAAAAATATGTTAAAAGATAAAATTATGAAAACGTATAAGCAATATTTTGGAAATTACATCATACTTTTATGTATAAAATAAATTTTAAAATTATATATATAATGTCGGGTTGGTTTGGTTTCAGGTTGACCTTTTTATATTAAAACCAAACCAACCCAAGTATAGTCGGATTTTTTTTTCAATGTCAACTTTTTTTTTGCGGTTTAACTCGATTTACGACAATTTGATTTGATTTTCAGTTCGGTTTTGTAGACCCCTAATTTCGGGTGCCAAAATTATTAGAGATTTCGAGAAAATTGGTATAAGTCCTTGTTTATTTAGTATGTGTTTACCTCTTTATATTCTGAATCCCTTTAATAAAAATCTTGGCTTCGCTATTGTTTGAGGGTTGAAATGAAATTGGAAACAAACAAACAGAAAAGTGGTTATAACTATTCCAAATGAGAAGAACTTTTATTCAATTTATCAACTTTACCGGGCATAAAAAAAAGGCAATTCGATCCACTAAAGCTCCCGACCACAAGGACCTATTGTAAATCGAGCCTTACCTTGTATTTCTGCTAGAGACTATTTCCAAGATTTGAACCTGTGACCTCTTTATCACTCAAGAAAATGTCAAATATTCTCATTTGATAACTTAGAAACCTCACTTGACTATACATATAGGACTATTCAGAGATAATATCTCATATGATCACTCAACTTTGCATACTTTACTTAGAAAGTCACTCAACTTTGAGTTGTTCACTTCGAAAGTCAATCAACTTTATTTTATAACTCAAAAGTCACTCAATTATTGATATTTCACTTAGAAAGTCACTCAACTATTGATATTTCATTTGGAAAGTCATTCAAATATTAATATTTCACTTACAAAGTTGCCCAACAAATTTAAATAATTTATTCATTAAATTTTGTTGAAATCTAATTTTTGTTTTAAATTATTTTTTAAGAAATAATAAGATATTTATTTTAATTATCTTGTTGACCTTCTTCAGTTATATAATTAGAATTTTTTTTGAAAAAACGAACAGTAGCCTTTTTTTAGCATATTTAATTCCAGTAAAACAATTACTAGAACAGAAAAACAATTTTTTCTCTCAACTGCTACTGTACATTTAAAATAGCAATCTTCTATTATTTCTTATTAAATTAATAGCAATGCTACTGTAGGTTTTAATTTTAATTTGTCAATTGCAACGGTACGTTTAAAATATCAATCTTTTCTTTTACTAAATTAAAAGGGGTAATAAAAAAGATGCTCAGTAGCGATCTTTTATTTTATTTTTAAAAACATAATTTTAAAAAATAAATATTTCAACAAAATTCAAAAAATAAATAAATTAAAATGAGCATCTTTTTATTTTTTAAAATTAGTTTAAAATGAAATTGTATTTCATCAAACTTTAATGAAGAAATTATTTAAATTAGTTGGATGACTTTTTAACTAAAATATCATTAGTTGAGTGACTTTCTAAGTGATATATCAATAGTTGAATGACTTTTGACTGATAAAACAAAGTTGAATGACTTTCTAAGTAAACCACTCAAAGTTGAGTGATTTTCCAAGTAAACTATTCAAAGTTGAGTGACCATTTGAGATATCAACTCGAACTTTTCATTAACCTTTGTACCAAGAGCAATAAATAGAAAGAAAAGGGTAAACCAAAAATTCAAAAGATATGAGAAAAAAAGTATATTTTCTAAAGAAGAAGAATTATGGAACCATTTCAAGCCTTGGCTCCAAGCAAAAACCAGTAAAGAGCTGAAGGGGAAGCCTTTTTTTCACAGGACATTTTCGACCCCACGTCCACATTTTCTGCTCAACATCAAAAACAAGAAGAGCAGGTGCTCCATAACTCTGTATGTATATGAAGTCGTCTGTACCGCTACTGGCAAAAACATCATCAAATTCCCCAAAACCATGGAAATACTTATGTGGCATTCGCGCTATTTGTTGCCATTCCATCCCATTAAGTGTCCATATACCGATCCCCTTAATTATATCAGGACAGTCTCGCTTCCCTATCCCTCCTACCATTACTAACTTTTCGTTGAGGTTCATTAGACGACCACACGTAAGACAACATGGTACAGGAATGAAACTCCTCATCAACATGGTACATGATCTGCTTGAGAGGTTGTAAGTGATTAAACCGTGACGATTTTCTGAACCACCAATTCCAGTTGAATAAATCATGATATACAATACACCATCACATATAACACTTTCATCCCCACCTCTCCATCCTGTCAAAACATCAGTTAAACAGGTCATCCACGTCGTTGTTCCAGAATCGTATATGTGGATGGACACATCACATTGAAAGAAGTTCTCAGGGATGTGCTTTGATTTAACAATTGTAACACTATAACAACGCGTTTTTCTATTTACAACCATAGCCAATGCATTGTAATCAGAAAAATTGAACCCCGGTGGCTCCTCGAGGTTCTTGCAACATTTGGTTATTGGATTACAAACATATAGCTGATCAGTTCTACTATTGTCCATGAAGCAAAATAATCCACAAGATGAAGAAATAAAGCAACTGGATGTCCAAATGCAGGGGAGTTCAATAACGTACCATTTCCGAAAAGTTGGATCATAGGCATAACCTATTGGTTTCTCTGAACTTGTGAACATAAAGTACCACGGTTTATGAGACAGAAATCGCGATGAGTTCCACAAGAATCTTCCTGATTTCACTATCTCATGCCATCTTTTACATACACAACCTGCCCTAAAGATGCTAGCAATAGGAAGACGAGCCAATATTCGTTCTAGTAAATCATCAGGCAGTATCAAATCTACGAGAACAGAGGAAACTTGTTTTTCGTCTTCATATTTAAGCTCGGAGCTGAAAGAATCAGGCTCAACAGTATCATCAGGGCAATGACTGAACCATGATGCTTCCCCTTCCATGACGATGAAAGTGACAAAAACCTGAAGGAGATTAAATTTTGAATGAGATTATGCAGACAAAACAAATTACTCACTCGTTCATTAACACATTGTACATAAACAGATACTCAAACTTGACCTAACCTGGAAAACTAAGCACTCCAATTTTGAGAGTGCACATCTAGACACAGAACACTCCAACTCGTCCCCCTTGTTTTGTGGACACCTGATGCTGATGTGACACATTGATTTTGAAGGCGTATAAATGATCATTTTGTAAGTTGGAGTATTCAACTGACAAAATGAAGATGAGTTGAAGTATCTAAATGTGCATGCTCAAAGTTGAAATTTTACTTGCTAGCTGAAGCCAAGTTTGAGTATTTGTATATGTATAATGCATTCATTGAATAACAAGAAGCACAGACAGAATCTAAAACAGATTAACTACTGGTATATGTTGAGCAACCTTGTCCTAATTAGCTAAAGAGGAAATGTAACAGATTGTACATTGCATCTCAATTTGTGATGTCCCCTCTTTTTAATTATTATTTTTTATACATAGTGGGTAGGGAAAGAGGAATCAGGAGAGGGATTATAAGGTGAGATTAAACCAGGTGAAAGTTCAGATAGCTAACGAACTGAACTACTAAGATTTTTTGTGATTTCTCCTCTAAATGGCCGGTCACAATGATATTTTTTATATTAAAAAAATCCAAAAAATTAGAAAGTTGGTAAAATAGAAAAGAGATATTTTTTATTGTAACCGACAAAAAATGAAAGTAAGACAAATAAATTGAAACGGAAGAGTAACGAACAAGAATTAGAGAAAGGGAAAAATATTGTAATTTACTATACATGAATAAAACAAATACTATAATTTATAAAAATGAGAAAAGTATAAGGTTGTTCCTTTGCATCACTTTTTTCCTTTTATTTCTTCTTTTGACAATTTTAAAATTCATACAAGGTTGGATCCTACATTTTTCTTTTTCCAATCTAATATATTATATTTCAATTTTACTTATAGAATATGTTTGGAATATACTGTACCAACACGCATATTATTTTCCTCTCATTTTTGGTTTCCAAAAAGGATTTTAATTCTCTAATGTTATGCTATACCTAAATAATCCCCCATCAATCTTTTAATGAATAAATTCTACCTAACCTTTTGCATTTAACAAGTATTTTTTTTCACTTTTGAAAGAGACAGAAGCCATTTGATTGTGAAGCAGCTAGCAGTCACAATGAGCTAGTAATTTTAGATTTTTTTTTTGAAATTATTCTGAAAAGGTTTTCCAAAAAAAAAAACTGTTTTGTAAATTAATTTGGGGTTTGGCTAATTAATTTGAAAAATATTTTAATGTTGAATAGTAATTATTTGATCAAACTTTTAAAAAGTGTCAAAACTTCTAAAATCAATTTATTTTAAATAGTACTTCAGGAAAAAACGATTTTTTTGAGTTTCTCAAAAAATCGTTTCTCAAAAATAATTCTTTCACTTAGAAACTTTTTTTCCTCCTAAAAGCTTAGCCAAACAGGCAAAACACCTCAACTTAAAAAAAAACAAACTTTAATCTTGAAAATGTTTGACAGGCTACAACTTTTATATGGTATTATTAATGTTATTCGTGCACAGAGAGAGTTCTAATACTAATTTTAAACTTGAATGAATCAAGTTCTAATATTATATACAAGCAGTATCGCCATCAACTATCATCAACATCATTATCAATCATCACATATTCTTTGGTTATCATCACCAATCATTAATTACTAACATCAATTAACTTCGTTATCATTATTACCACGACCATCATCACAATTAATCGTCATCAACGCACTAGTCAATAGAACACCATCTCATGTATCACGACTATCAACATCACTATTAATACTCACTAGCACCATCCTCACTACTACTACAAATCATCTCAATCATCACTAGCGAACATTAATGTTTCATTTTTTTCAAATAATAATTTGTTTTCTAAGGAGGATTTAATTATTATTTTTAATTTGAATTGCATACCAATAAATAAATTATTCAAATTTAGGTGTTTAAAGAATAAGAGTCTCAATCATTTGTTTAAATTTATATGCACTATCTTAATCATTCAAACATGTATTAAGATATATCTTAATTTCAATGCAAACAAATAGGACTTAGCCTCCTCAGATAGGTCATCAATTATCATCTTGATTCAATATCATCTATTACTATTTTTACTATTCTTTTCGAAACAACAAACCTGTTAGTTTTAAAAATTCAGTTTAGTAAATTAGAGTTTTGTTATACGTTAGGTTTATCCTAGTCTTTAGGAAGTAATTTTAAACGTGGACAACTATCTAGTTTTAGGAGTGTAGTTCCTAATTTTTAGCTTCAGGTTATTTTGCTTATAAAGGATTGTAATTGCAGCTTTCACTTATTCAGTCAAAAAAATTCCTTCGATTATATTGCCTTCTCTCTTCTCTATCGTCTTTCAACTTACAAATATATATTTCTTGATACTGTTTTCTATCAGTGGCATCAGAGCCGAGTGAGATCCAAAAAAAGAGAAAAATATTGCTAGTTTATGGCTTCAGAGAGCAATTACGCTCAACCAGCTATTCCGCATTTTGATGGTCACTATGACCATTGGAGTATGCCGATAAAGAACTTCTTACGGTCAAATGAGTATTGGCCAATTGTCGAGGACAGAATCGGAGCTCCGATGGAAGGCGAAGCCTTAACGAATGCTCAAAAGGCGGAGTTCAAAGCAAGAAAGTTGAAAGATTTGAAGGCAAATAATTATCTCTTTCAGGCTATCGATCGTCCCATCCTAGAAACTATTCTTTGCAAAGAAACTTCTAAGGATATTTGGGATTTGATGAAGAGAAAATATCAAGGTACTGCTAGAGTGAAGCGTGCACAGCTTCAAGCCTTAAGAAGGGATTTCGAGACGTTGCAGATGAAGGAAGGAGAGTCTGTAATGAGTTACTGCGCTAGAACACTGGAGATTAGCAACAAAATGTGATTTCATGGTGAAAAGATGACTGATGTCACAATTGTGGAAAAGATATTGCGCTCCCTGACGCCGAAGTATGACTATGTCATTTGCTCCATTGAGGAGTCAAAAGATAAAGACGAGTTATTGCTTGAGGAATTGCAAAGTTCCTTATTGGTACATGAGCAAAAAATGAACCGCAGTTCATCTTCCGAAGAGCAGGCTTTGAAGGCTTCTACTAATACTCATTTCTCAAATTTTAGAGGAATGGGTAAGGGTAGAGGAAGAGAAAGAGGAAGAGGAAGAGGAGATCGAGGATTTAGAGATGAGGGCAGCAAAGACGGTAGTAGGAATTTCAGAGCCAATGATGACCATGGTAAAGGCAGAGGAAGGAATTTGACAAATCAAAAGTAGAGTGCTATCGATGTCATAAATTTGGTCATTATAAGTCTGAATGTTATACCAGGCTGCCTAATGACAAGGATGAGAAGTCAAATTTTGCTGAAAGTAACGAAGTTGAGACATTGTTGATGGCAGTCCAAGAGAAGGAACCTGAATAAAACGTTTGGTATTTGGATACCGGCTGCAGCAATCACATGTGTAGAAGTAAGTATTTGTTTTCTTCTTTGAATGAATATTTCATTTCAACAATTAGTTTTGGCGATTTTTCCACTGTGACTTCAATTGGAAAGGGTGATATTAAGATTAGAACCAAGAATGGTTTTGAAGAAACGATCTCAAATGTGCTATATGTTCCTACTTTGAAAAGTAATTTGCTAAGTGTTGGTCAATTGCAAGAAAAAGGATATGCTATAACTATTGAGAAAGGTGCATATGAGATTTATAATCTTACTAGAGGAGCTATTGCTGTTGTGAAAATAAGTTCAAATAGGTTGTTCCCACTGAAGATAGAGAATATTCACCGTTGTTTGAAAGCAGAAGTTAGAGATCCGTTATGGTTGTGGCATTTTAGATATGGTCATTTGGTTTTGGCGGATTAAAAGTTCTCCAACAAAAAAATATGGTGATAGGTCTTCCTGAAATTACAATTCCATCGCAAGTTTGTGAGGAATGTGTTGTTGGCAAACAACATCGTTCTCAGTTTCCAAAAGGAAAGTCGTGGAGAGACAATGATGTTTTGGAGTTGATACATTCAGACATTGGTGGCCCAATCAAACCAGCTTCTAATGGAGGTAAACAATACTTTATTATGTTTACTGATGATTTTTCCCAAAAAACTTGGGTTTATTTTTTACATGAAAAATCTGAGGCTTTTAAAGCATTTAAAAGCTTCAAGGTTCATGTAGAAAATGAGACGGGAAAGAAAATTAAGACTCTTCGGACAGATCGTGGTGGTGAGTATTGCTCTAAAGTTTTTGATGATTTTTGTGAATCTGATGGCATTAGAAAAGAGCTTACAACAGCTTATACACCACAACAAAATGGTGTATCGGAGAGAAAAAATAGAACCATCCTCAATATGGTTCGGAGTTTGTTGGTAAAAGAAAGAGTGAAAAAGAGTTTTTGGCCAGAAATGATAACTTGGAGTATTCACGTCTTGAACAGAAGCCCTACATTTTCTGTTAAGAACATGACTCCAGAGGAGGCGTGGAGTGGAAGAAGACCCGTTATAGATCACTTTCGAATTTTTGGGTGTATTGTGTATGCATATGTTCCAGATGAGAAAAGGAAGAAGTTTGATGATAAAAGTGAAAAATGTGTATTTCTTGGTGTTAGTGAAACATCTAAGGCCTATAAATTATTAAATCCACAAACAGAAAAGATTGTGATCAGCCGAGATGTAACGACTCGGAAAATGATAGAGTGAAACTAGAGCCTCACATGTGAGTTTGGAGTCGAGAGCTTAATGAAATGATTATATTTGAATTTGACCCAAAAAGTTCTTAAAAATGTGCTTCGGAAGTTACCGGAAACTTGTTTAGCTGTATATAGAAAGATCCGTTTCGTTTTTCGAAAATCCGACTTCATATTCTTGTTTAGGGGGTCAAAATGAGTGGGAAATGGATCTAACCCGAATTTTAGAGCAACCGTATCAAAATCCGAAAATTCCAAGTGAAGCCTTTTTCGAGGGTCTACTTTGGAGGGTCATATCTCCTAGCACACAAATTATTTGGGTGGCCAATAATATATCCATGGAAAGCCCTTTGAGTTAGCTACCTAACGCACTTCATTTCACCTCATTCGGAGTTCGGACGAAGAAGTTATGCCCATTTTCGTAAAGTCCGTC